GTACCGGTCCGCGGACCGGTGGTTGGGGACCCCTGTACTAGGGGATGATTTGATGTTTGATATCTTCTTTAACATCTCAGGCCTTCAAGAAATCTAAAGAAGTCATGGAGAGGTTCGTCCGGGCTTATAAACTCATGTTGAAATTTTACGGCATCGAGTTAATCAATGAGGAAACGGGAGAATTGACTAAAGCGGAAAACTGGCGTGAGCGATTTTGGAATCTCAACCGGTGAGTTTCTTCTGAGATTATTATCTCTTGGCCTGCTGTCACTGGCGTGCTTGGTTGGTGGCACCTTATCAGAATTGCTGTATATGAACTGAACGCAACAAGTACTACGAGGAATCATGATGTCAACTCAAAATATTTCCATGGTCTTTTTAGAGTTGCCAACAGAAAGGGAAGGGGGAGCAGTGCAGCAGCTTGGAAATCAAAAGTGAATTCCATAAATAGTTTCCAAAGATAGCAACTAGGTGACTGAAGTTTCTGCCATGCAAAATTCTAACTGGAGAGCATGATTGATGACTCTTAGCTATGAATGTGTCCCATTGGAGAATATGAATTACGATACACCTAGGAGGTGGGGAAAACCAGGGTCAAGGGTGACAATGAATTATGTGTCTCGGAGTCGGCTACACACAGGCAGTGCTGGACATGTTAACTCCCAATAAATCATTTGAAGTTCTGGAAGTTTGGCTCAAGTGCATGATTTAATTGGGGGAACTACTGGAATCCTGACGGCATAGGCTTTGATTATGGGGTCTTTGGTGCTCTCTGAGCTTGATTGTTTTGTTGCAGACGTTTCATCACCCAACTAGGTAATGTCATCAGTGTTAGAAGGGAGTGGGCTTTGCTCTTATTTTTATATTGTATCAGTGTTGGTGGGGGTGTCCTTGGCAGTTCCTTGATTAGACTGTTATTTGCTATTGGGTCATTTTTCTGCATTAATATTTGCTTGATTTGGATATTGCTTACTTCATTTTTGGTCCAGTGTTAGTCTCAATGGTAATCTCTGATCACATGGTATTGATTGCTGGTAAGGAGGTTTTTTTGGACTTTTTTCTTTTCCTATGGGGCTTTTTGATTGTCTCTTTTGAATGACGTGTAGATGTTGTTTTATATGCCTATTGAGGGCTGATTTGTTTTGAGTATCAGTTCCACTCCCTTCTAGCACTGATGATGTTACCTAGTTGGGTAATGCAGTGTCTGCAAGAAAATCACCATCTCAGAGAGCACCAAGGACCCCGCTGTTCAACCCTGAGCTACAAAAATTATGTTCAATCAGACAAGGATCACCTCTTGAGTAAATTCTCATTTCATACAAGCATAAGCTCCTTTGGATGTAATAGACAATCCTTTGGGAGTGGTTCTTAGTGAAACCTTCAGGTTGTAGCTCTTGTGTGAATAAGTGTCTAGCTCAAAGCACCCCATCCTGAGTTTGGTTAGGTTAGGTCAGGACAACATCAAGGCACATTTCTGTAATAAGGGTGGAAGGGACCTTGGAGGTCTTCTAGTCCAATCCCCTGCTCAAGCAAGAGACGCTATACTATTTCAGACAAGTGGTTGTCCAATCTCTTCCTAAAAACCTCCAGTGTTGGAACATCCACAACTTCTGGTGGCAAGCTGTTCCACTGGTTAATTGTCCTCACCGTTCGGAAGTTTCTCCTTAATTCCAGGTTGCTTGTCTCCTTGATGAGTTTCCACCCATTGCTTCTTGTCCTGTCCTTCAGGTGCTTTGGAGAATAGCTTGACTCCCTCTTCTTTGTGGTAGCCCCTGAGATATTGGAATACTGCTATCATGTCACCCTTAGTCCTTTTTTTTTTCATTATAAACTAGGCATACCCAATTCCTGCAACCGTTCTTTATATGTTGTAGCCTCCAGTCCCCTAATCCTCTTTGTTGCTTTTCTCTGCACTCTTTCTAGAGTCTTTTTTTTTATATTGTGGTGACCCAATACAAAATAAAATATTGCATCACCCCATAAAATATAGGGTGATGCAATATTCCAAGTGTGGTCTTACTAAGACATTATAAAGTGGTATTAGCATTTCACGTGATCTTGATTCTAGCCCTCTCTTCATGCAGCCTAGGACTGTGTTGGCTTTTTGGGGTTGTTGGCAAAACCGTCATGAAACCACGTTTACAAGAATGCGGGATCTTGTAACTGTGAGTTACAAGATCTTGCCATTGCAGGATTGTGATGTCAACAATGACATTGCAATGAGGACAGTTAACCAGAGGAACAGCTTGCCTTCAGACGTTGTGGGTGTTTCATCACTGGAGGTTTTTAAGCAGAGACTGGACAGTCAGCCACTTGTCTGAAATGGTACGGGGGTCTCCTGCTTCAGCAGAGGGCTTGAATAGAAGACCTCCAAGGTCCCTTCAAACCCTTTTCTGATTCTGGATGCTGCAAATGTCCATTAATTAATTATTATTTTCTTAACTGCTCATCTTTCTCAGAGAAGGGCTCTAGGTAATATACAATTTAATTAATAAAATTAAGCATTTGAAATGCTTAAATTCAACTGAGTTGTTTGGTCGTGTGACATCCGGGGTGGGGACAGGACGACAACTGACCGTTGGAATTTCAAATCCAGATCCTAAATAGCTGTCCTCCCCTGGTAAGTCTGTCATAACTTTGACTGATTGCTAAACAACCGGTCATAAGTTGAGAACTACCTGTAATACAATCCTTTAAATTCTGTTTTTTCATATCTCAATTTTACCTAATGGTCCTTCTTTTTCCCCTCCCCCCCCCCCCAACATAACTTTAATTGGTTGCTAAGCAACTGATCATAAGACGAGGCCTACCTGTAATACAGATTTCAAAATCTGTTTTTTACGTCTCAATCATACTTAATTATCTTCTTTTTTTTCCCTCCCACATAACTTTGAATGGTTGCTAAGCAACTGGTCGTAAAACGAGGCCTACCTGTAATACAATGTCTCAATGGTATTTAATTGTCCTTCTCTTCCCCTCCACCTCTTGTCACACTATTTTTTTTGTTGTTGTTGTTCAGGTACAGCCATAACAATTTACGGATCACTCGCATCCTGAAATGCTTGGGCGAGATGGGCTATGAGGACTACCAAGTGCAGCTGGTGAAGTTCTTCCTGACAGAGACTCTCGTCCACCAGGGGCTACCTCGGGTGCTGAGAAGCGTCTTGGACTACTTCATGTTCACCGTCCGAAGCAAACCCAAACGGAGGGAGTTGGTCTATTTTGCCTGGCAACACTTCAAGCCAAAGCGTGAATTTGTCTGGGGCCCTCACAAGAAACTCCGGAGGTTCAGACCTCTGTCCTTCAAGCTTCTGACTAACCCGGAAGAACAAGCACACGCCAAGGAAGAAGAGGGAGAAGTTGTGGAGAAGGACAGCGTTGAGTCCCCCGAAACAATCCCTCAGAGACTTGCGGAAAAACCTGGGCAGGAGGAAGCTGGAGAAACTCAAGAAAAAGAGAAATGTGGCTTGTCAGGAGAGAGTTGTGTGGCTTGCCATGATTTAGGTACAACAGTACAAAATAACCACATGGAGCAGCCTGTATCCAGCATTAGTGCCACGTTGAGCCTTTCAGACAGTAACTCTGTGCAGGACAAAGGTGTCAGGAGAAGAACCAACTCTGTAGAAGATGGGGAGCTGTTACAAGATGGGGAGGTTATAGAACCTCTGATGAAGACTGTGGATGACTGTAAGAGTTCCAAAAACGCAAACCAATGTCAACTTGCATTGGTAACGCTAGCCAAGGAAGACCGCAAAGAAGTCCTAGTACCTTCTAATTGTCCGTTGGAGAGACAGGGCCATGCTGATGAGTGCGTGGGTGAAGCTGAGGGAGATAACCTCAAGGAATCCAAGAAGAGGAAGTTGGAGCTGAGCAGGTTAAGTGGAGAAATCCCCACGGCCCTTAAAAGCGATATTGAGAGGATCTCCCATAATCTTGGCGAGGTGGTCATTACAAAGGAGGAAGTTAGCATCTTGGCCCCCAAAGGTGGCCATGAGGACATCCCAGATGGGAAGGAGATTGAATCGCTAGATATGGTGATCAAGAGACGGAAAGTAGACGTCGTACCCAAAGGTGGCCCTTCGGAAGCAGACTGTGAGGTGATCCCACCTGATGACCAAGGAGAAAGCTGTGGAACTCATGATGATAAGGAGAAAGATCTTGTCTGCCAAGAAGAAACCAAAATGGCAGCTAATCCTTCTGCAGACACTCTGACAGGACACAAAGCTGGAGGGGGGGATGCGTTGGTTGATTCCAACAAGAATGTCCTCCCTGGTGATGGCTCTATGGTGGAGAAAGTGAATGAACAAGAGGCTACCACCACTTCAACAGAAAGTGAGGTCCCTTGGTTGTCTGAACCCATAACACCTCATGAAAGGGGCGTAAGAAACAATGCAGGATGGAAAGAACAGGAGTTTGAAGAAACTTCTGATGGTCCCCTAGAAAGTAATGAAATCTCCAAATTAAAGGAATATGAAAACACCACGGCTGGACCAGAAGAAGAGTAGTCCTATCCCAGATTGGATGAAGCCGTCCTAGAAATACTAGCGGTCAGAATGGGGCGTATCTTTTCAGAAACAGATCAAAATAACCCTTTGCTTTGTGGTCTGGTATCTCCGAGTTTTATAAACATGACACCTAAAGGTAAATCTTCAGGATGAAAGGTTACCACACTTGGTAACTTGCTCATCTGATTATCCCATTTCTAGAAGTCTTTTATCTTTTAATTAATTGCCAGAGTGCTGTGTTCTCTTTTTAACAGAAAGCACTCACCTGTTCAGTTCAAGGTATGCAACTTTACAGGTGTGTTTTCCAGGGTTTACTAGATGAGCTCCCAGAATGTTATTTGCTAAATTAAGTTTGTGTTTGTTAAATAAAGATCTTTAACTTTTGGGGGTGACGTTTCTGGTTTCTTGATAAGGAAGGGAGAAAGTATGAATTAAACGTTCTCCCATAGTTCTTTTCTGACCAAGGCTTATTGAGACACTAACAAATACATGTTAGTCCCAAAACCCATTTTTTAAAATTTCAACGGCTATGAATTGTAGTCATTCACAGCTTGTAATGATTCTCCAACAGTTAACAAATAGTCCCATGGAAGTCTGCCAAAGTCCTTCGGTATAAGTCTGATAAGCACGCACCTTTATCTTCCTTGAAATGCTGCCAACGACTAAATGTCCAATTAGTTATACGAGGCCAAACAGAACACAAATTCAACACAAAGCTTCAGGTTTCAAACTGACCAGTACGAACAAAGTTGCTTCCTGCAAAGGCTCATGTCCCGTTGCTCCTCCTTTATGTCCTATGGGAGGGCCAATCACCTCCAAGCCTTACTCCTGAATCGCCCCTTTTGTCTTAACTGTTCTTGCCTTCTGGCAGCTCTGCGCACGCACGCACTGGGAACAGGCTCCCCTTGTTCCTCTGCCTCGCTGCTGTCAGATTCTGGAGGCTCCATAAGTCCCAGATGGCCCTGGCTCCATCTCTGTGTCGGACGCAGGACCCTCGCCAGAGTCCTCCCCAGACTCTCAGACTGGCCCATGTTCCTCCCCACTGTCCAACTCTGCTGCTGTTTCTGCAGGCTACCGGCAGACCACAACAGTTCTATGTGTCACCACTCTGGAATAGGGACACAGAGCATCGAGGAAGGAAAATAACATACAGGTGAATTGCAAGCACAATTGAGTCCAAAACTTATGTTACTAAGCAGGACAGTTGTTGTGAATGTTGCCTCATTTTGCAACCTTTCTTGCCATTGTTGTTAAGTGAATCACAGCAGTTATTAAGTTAATAACACGGTTGTTAAGTGAATCTGGCTTCCCCATTGCCTTTGCTTGTCAGAAAGTCGCAAAAGGGGATCACGTGACCCTGGGACACTACAACCGTCATAAATATGAGTCAGTTGCCAAATGTCTGAATTTTGATCATATGACCATGTGGATGCTGCAACGGTCATATGTGTAAAAATGGGTCATAAGTCACTTCAAAGATTTTGTAACTTCAAACAGTCACTAAACGAAAAGTAAATTGAGGAATACTATACTTGTATCTAATTATTCCCAGTGGTGCTTTTTGATTGGGGACATAAACTTCTGAAAATAGACAAGAAGCTCATAACTACTGACTAAAACTGAACTTAATTTGTTTCTTCTCTTGTTATATTGATAGCCTCCTATTAAATTTTTATGGAGTTCCTATGAGAATGGTGTGATGTAGTGAAAAAGAACGCTAGAACTTGGAGGTGGAGTGAAAAAGGGACTCAGCCTAGAATCCTTACATAGCCACAAGAGAATGAAGTCCAACACCCTTTGAGTAACAGATAACAGATAATAAGAGTTGGAAGGGACCTTATAGGTCATTTAGTCCAACCCTGCCCCCACCCAAGTGGGAGACCCTACACCATTTCTGACAAATGGCAGTCTAATCTCTTTTTGAAAGTCTCAAGTGATGGCGCTCCCACAACTTCCGAGGACAACTTCTGTTCCATTGGTTGATTGTTCTCCCTGTCAGAAAGTTTCTCCTTATTTCCAGGTTAAATCTCTCCTTGTTCAGTTACATTATTCCTTGTCTGGCCTACAGGTGCTTTAGAAAATAGCTTGACCCCTTCCTCCCTGTGGCAGCCCCTCAAATATTGGAAGACTGCTATCATGTCTCCCCTGGTCCTTCTCTTCCCTAGACTAGCCAAGCCCAGTTCCTGTAATGATTCCTGCCCTAATCATCCTAGTTGCTCTTTTCTGTCCTTTTTCTAGAGTCTCAACATCTTTTTATCGTATGGTGACCAAAACTGAATGGAGTACTCTAGGTGTGGTCTTACTAAGGCTTTATAGAGTGGTATTAGTACCTCATTTGATCTCGATTGTATCCCTCTTAATGCAGTTTAGGATTGCATTAGCTTTAGGAGTGTCATTAGATACTCTAAGCAGGTACCGGCTGTTAGTTGAGAAGATTCCTATGCATAGGCTTTTAGCAATAAATCAGTTTAATTGAACCTTTACAAATGGATCTGGTCTTTCACTCCTGATGGGTAGGAAAGGAATGAAGGAGATTTAATCAAGAGATGGAAACCAAATCTATTGGTATTTTATCTCATGAACTTGTCCCTGGTGCAGAGAAATCTGGAAAGAAGCATTTTAAATCACCCAAGGAATCTCTACCTTCTCAATCCACAAATAAATCAGGATTGGACATTGTCCTTGGCTTCCAACCATTCATTTATTGACCCTTCGAAGTTACAATGGTGCAAAAAAAAAAAAAAAAGACTTACGACCATTCCTCACACTTAAAGCCATTGTAACATTCCCATAGTCATGTGATCACAATTCTTGCACTTGGCAACCATTTAACAATGATTGCAGTATCCCAGGGTAACCAGGATTGCTACCTGCAACCTCAAGGCAGCTTCCAACAAGCAAAGTCGATGGGGAAGGCAGGATTTGCTTAAGGACTGTGTGATTCACATAATGACCATGGTGATTCACTTAATAGAATAGAATTCTTCATTGGCCAAGCGTGATTGGACACACAAGGAATTTGCCTTGGTGCAAATGCTCTCAGTATATATATAAAAAAGATACATTCGTCAAGAGTCAAGAATCATAAGGTCCAACGATAATAGTCATAGGGTACAATAAGCAATCAAATACCAGGAAACAGTCAATATAAATCATAAGGATAGAAGCAACAAGGTTACAGTCATACAGTCATAAGTGGGAGAAGATGGGTGAAAGGAACGATGAGAAGATTAATAGCGATAGTAAACTTTGCAGACTTTGTAAATAGTTGAACAGTGTTGAGGGAATTATTTGTTTAGCAGAGTGATGGTGTTCAGGGAAAAAACTGTCCTTGTGTCTAATTGTGTTTAGGTGTGCACTGCTCTATAGCGTCGTTTTGAGGGTAGGAGTTGAAACAGTTTATGTCCGGGATGTGAGGGGTCTAAATATTTTCACAGCCCTCTTTTTGACTCGTGCAGAATACAGGGCCTTGATTGAAGGCAGGTGGGTAGTAATAATTTTTTCTGCAGTCCTAATTATCCTCTGAAGTCTGTATCTGTCCTGCTGGGTGCTGTTCACCGCAAAAAGTTTTGTAACACTGGGTGTGATTCCCTTAACAACTGCATCGCTTAAGTAACAGAAGTTCTGGAAGTTTAGGGCTGCTGTATTTTTCACCACCTCAAAGATTGGCATTGCTAAAATCTCTGGAATTTTAATTCTCGCTTCCTTGACTTTGCCATCTGAGCTTATGATTAACCTGGTACATATAAAGGAAAAATCAACCTGTGATTTAGAAGAACGGGACACGTTGACCCAAAGCACCAAGAAGGTTTACTTTCCCACCTGGATCACTGTTAATACTTTAGAAGAAGCCCAGGCATTTTTTTCTAAAGATGCAAGTTAGCATAAAAGCTTTCCGGAAAGTAACACGAAATGAGAAAATTACTATAAGTTAATATGCATCATGATAGTTTAGTTTATTGTCATTGCACTTCGTACAACGAAATCAAACACCATCTTCAGTGCACATCATGACCATGAAAATAAACACAAACACACATCCTTCACCCTCCACACATTGAACCGAAAACCCGCAACACTGCACCAATACAGCAGAATTCAACAGAGCTACTGCCCTGGGATAGAAGCTGTTTTTCAGCCTATTTGTCCTTGTTTTTATTATTCTGTACCGTCTCCCAGATGGTAATAGTTCAAAAAAAAAGGGTGCCCAGGATGAGATGGATCTTTGAGAATGTTTTGAACTTTCTTAAGGCAGCAGGAACTATAAAGCTCTTCCTGATAGAAACCAGAAGTAGAATGGCGGTGTGGTGGTCTAGTGATGAAGACGCTCGCCTCCCACCAGGTAGGTTTAGAGTTCAAACCTAGGTAGTAGCAGATGCTGTGAACTCTGTGTGGTGTCAGGAAGGGCATCCAGACAGTAAATATTCAGCTCTATCCAGTCGTTCTGACTATACCCTGGATAAAGGGATTGCAGGGTTGTAAAAAGGGAAGAGCAAATTTTGTTCATTATAACCCAGATGGGGCTGAGAAGGCAATTGGAAGAAATGACATTAAATTGGGCATCATCCTGCAGCCTAAAAGGGCTCAAGCTTTGAGCCTTTTCCCCAAGACCATAGAACCGTGATGGTGAACCTATGGCAGAGGTGGCATGCAGAGCCCTCTAAGTGGGCATGTACGCCATCGCCAGCTGCTCTGGTTTCTGGTCCACCAGCCAGCTGGTCTTCACAGGCATCAGAAAATGGTCCAAAAAAATCAGGCCTTTTTCAGGTTGTTTTTTGGGCTGTTTTCGGGCTGGAAAATGACCCAGAAAATGGACTAAAAATGGCCAAAAGCAGTGCCCCAAACAGTCCAAAAACAGGCCATTTTGGGGCTGTTTTCAGGCCAAAAGCAGCCTGAAAATGGTCCCAAAAATGGCCCGAAACAGCCAAAAAACAGGCATGCATGCACCAGTCAGCTGGTCTTTGGTTTTCCGGCACTCCAGCATGCACGCATTCACACGCGTTACAGTTTGGGCACTCGGTGCCGAAAAGGTTCACCATCACTGCCATAGAGGCATTGGTCATAAGGTCTGTGAATCTTAACTGGTAGCCCCGATGGTTTCTAACTAGAAAGTAAAATCAGCTACAACAAAAAGTTATGCCAAAACCGTGAGGTTATACAGAAGCAAGACCTTGGTGTAAGCTAGTTATTTATTAGTAGTCCTCAACTTGTGACTATAATTGGAACCGGACCTGTCACTAAGCCATGAGGTCGTTATGTAAGTCATCATGTGACTGCACCTCATTTAATCACCTTTTTTTTTTTTGCTGTGGTCATTAAGCGAATCACTAAGTGAATCTGGCTTCCCCCATTGGCTTTGCTGGTTGGAAGCTGGCTAGGAAGGTTG